CGCCTTTTTCTTTCGTCCTTGAAAGTTTACGGCAGCCGCTATACTATCTATGTACATATGTATAAATTCCTGCTGCAGGGAATAATTATTCCATAAGTTTGGTTTTTGCACATTTTCCCTTTCACAGGAAGAAGTAAAACCCGAAAAAGAATGGAAATGGGGGCCCTGTAAGGTAATGTCAACAGTCTGTTGGAGTTGTCTGTATCGCGTTTAGGTCAACAAATCAATTCGGCCAAATCAACTTGTAAGGTTTAATTGGCTCTAACGAAGTTTGGTCTTATCGATAGGGTCAGTGTAGTCGACTTCTTCCCCATCACGAACCCAAATCAAACGAAATTGATTGTGTGAGCAGTGGTGGTGCAGGGCAACCACTATCGTTTTCTTCATCGTCAACTTCTTCAGATGAAGTCAAGATCCCTTTATCCCCATCCTCGGCTGCATATAGTATGTCAACAGACATATTAAATACGGCAATCAATTTATCCCCCTTCATCGATATGCTTACCACAGAAATAAATATAACGTCAACCACCTCAGGTTTCTTTTTACTTGAACTGCCTAACCCTTTGTAGGGATTAAGGGCCCAAAGTTTGAGCCAGATGACCCTTCTTGCCTGAAACGCACTGGCGATTTGGAAGGCGAATTTCGCCCGAGTGGGTGATTTTTCACTGCCTGTATTCTTTTCTTTCTATCACCGTGGAGCTAAAACTCAGCTTGCGGTTCATGGCTACCCGCGTGCATATGTTTTGCGCGATCACCACTAGCAACATCACTGCTCACTAAGCATCTCCAAACCTGTCCTGTCAATACTACCACTGCAGCCCCATTTCACGACTCAGCGTGGTCGGTCACTTGTAAACTTAGCACACGGAGACGCGGTGAATCAGTGTCTGGGGTCATGACGTACGGTCGCCGCCTCCGCCTCCACTGTCCACGCGTCTTCACTCATCGCATGCGCATACTTGGCCACATGCGCCTCCACGAAAATCTGGGATTAATCCCCGCAGCTACGCTAACATAACCAAGAGGTCTTCCAGTTGACGCACACACGCATGCCTCCAGCAGCACCGGCACCTCGCACTTAATTTAGAATTATGTTTTCTGGCTCCTCTCCATGTGGCTTTTCGGCTACATACGAGATCTGTACCGTATCCATAATTATATATGCATACCCTGATCAGATGTAGGCTAAGTGATGTATGATGGCGTGAGTAGCACAGATCGGGAGTTCATATGCTTTTGCGTGAGAGGCATATTTGCTGACGCTAGTTTTCTTCTGCATGCAGGTCAAGCTGCAATGGCTCCTTAACATGACGTTAATGAACATTCACCTGACCGCTAACGAAACTCATTTGTCTTGCTCTTCCTTGGGTCTCATTCCTCAACCCTGCTGATAACCACAG